AGTTGATATGGTCAGAGATCTCGGCTTTGTTATCGATTCTAATTTGCCTTTCGAGCACCACCTGAAAAATGTTATAGCAAAAGCCGACCAGATAGTGTTTTTGCTGTTTAAGACGTTTGAATCTAGGGACCCGACGCTACTTCTCAAAGCATATAAAATTTATGTGCGTTCAGTTCTCGAGTACGGCACCTGTATTTATTACCCACACACGAAAAAGTTCGTGGGCAAGCTGGGAAAGGTGCAGAATGGCTTTTCTAGGAAACTATTCATCAGAACCTTAAGTTTTAATTATTCCAGCGTACCCCGTGGCCTCATTAGAAACAATTATTTAATTTGGATGCGTTATCCTCAAGGCTGAAGAGGAACGACATTCTTATGGTATATAATATTCTTCATAAACGTGCTGACCTCGGTAGTGACGCCTTCTATTAACTAATGCCATCTCTAAGGGGAAAAGCTTAAGCTTTCCTTCCGAAAACACGTTCAACAGAAGGTTCTTCACGGTTCGCGCGGGCACAGAGTTCTTGAAAATGAGTAAGACTTTGCAAATTTCTTCTAAATTTGCTAGCTTTAGGAAAGCGGATTTCATTATCTCCATCGCGCCAAATAATAATGCATAGTTTACGTTATGTAGTTCACCATGTTCTATCTAACGTTCGTTGTAATTTGTGTTTTGGTTTGTTGTTAATTGCTGTTTTATTTCTACATGCTGTACATGTGTTTGGCATGTAATGAATGGTAAATGGTATCCACGTGTGCGATAGCCTGCAAAATCAAAGAGCGAAACCTCAACCAACCGAAATTCATTATTATAGAAATTAATCGATAATGGTGGCATGCAAGTACGAAATCATGAATGCAGTGAGGAAACAAAGTGAACTCCCAACCAAGAAGCCCCCTGTAAATAAAAACTGGATGACCGTTTCTTTGGAGGTGCTCAGAGAAAAGGGTGTCATATCGTCACCTAACACTTTGCTTAGAAGAGATGTTGCCCTTGTGGAAGATACTCTGAACACAAAGATTTCGAGGGAAAGGGGTTTTGACCTTAGTAGTGAGACTTCTAATCATGGACATGTTCAAGAAAGCAACCGGAACCTTGTGTGGCTGTATCTGATAGGGTCATCAGGAGGTCTCCTGGGTTTCTTGTCATCGGCAGGCTAGAGAAGGGAAAGACGCGGTGACGTTGAGCACCATCAGGAGTAAGTTCATATGTCAACCCAGAGCAACGCTAGCAAGTTTCCGCGTAAATCGTGAATCTACTCTATGCTTTTTCCGTTGAGTATAAATCCTTCTTTGAAAGGTCTGGAAGCTGTGATGCACATTCGAAAATTGGTCTAAGATGAATTTTATATGCTTTTATAAGATTCGGCGAATCCCTAAAGTGGAAGGCTCCGGAAAGTTTGTGCTGAACATAGCTTTAGATACAATGTCTAAATAGAACTTATCAAGCCCAGCCTTGTTGTTCAAGTTGAAGATAAGATCGCGGATTTCAGAAACGTACTTGAGCGTTTAGTACACTCGATTATCATTATGTGCGTAGAAGCATTGCCGATACAGAAAATTGAATTTTTCATATGAGATAGGCGAACCGCAAACCCCTTCTAACAGACCAGAACCCAACACGGTCTAACACAGCCAGTAGTCCACTACAACCCACAACCCCTCGAGTTCCCAACAACTTTATAAATCACGATGTCATCAACTATATCACTCCAATCATGTCTTTTCCTTGTTATATAGCAAATTAATGTTGTGCTTTTGTGCCATCCAGAATTGAGCGAGTTGGACGAACGTACCCATACCCGACAATGCGACATTATTAGATCACGTTAAAGTAACAGTGGTGAAAAACCCCTCCTCAAGGCACACCACTGATGGCCGAGTAAGGGCTGGATAGAACATCAGCAGTATGTAGTTAATAACTTCGATTGAGTAAGAAGTTACTGATTCACCCAATAGCTCTGCAATGAAAACTGACATACTGTTGTTCATAGAAAAGAAGTGGCATGGGCACTGAGTAAAAGACCTTCGCAGTAAAGACAGTAAAGGGCCTTTGGTCAGAGTATACTAAATAAACGTTCTTTTTCATGCAATACTTCGTTACAATCGTCTTGAGATACAAGCGAAGCAGTCTCCACTTATCACCTCGTACAGGAGCCATGTTGTCGAGATAGACAACCATTGCGCTCTAAGTGAGTCATGAGTCGACGCTCTATTATTTGTTAAAATCTCACGATCTCACGATTATTGGGCAATTTTTTCTTATCCTTCGTTTGGAATGCTCTTTTTGGCACCGGTACAACTAGTGAATACCTCTAACATGAAGCAACTGCAACATCACCTCTCATGGAAGGTAGATTGAAGATATGCTCTTGGGGCAAAAAGTGTGCACAAGGACCATTTTGACGGATATAACGGTTTCAAAGAAAATATTATTTGGTGTAGTAGGAAAAGATTCTGACCGACTTTTTTCTGTTACTCCAGATAATACATATTCCCCCTCTAGAAAAGACCAAATATCTCGTATCTATGGGAACAAATGGAAGACTCCATAAAGGGGCAAATAGGCAGTAATTATTGAGAAAGATATTGAAAAGAAGACTTATAGACAGGTGAAATCTACTTGCCACGAGCTCGGCTTTATCTTTACCTTTTTCGCATAATGGGGTTCATCGACTAAAAGAGAAGGTCTTATGACATTACCTCTTACCGTAGTAGTGTAGCTTGGAAGTGAGGATAACAGTTGTTGGTCGTACTCCTCTCCAAATCATATAGTTGTGTACCAGCATCCAATGAAAACCGGCTGACTGTTGGGTTGTCACGTAGAAATAACAAGCAAAATAAAAACAAAAACTTTAGGAGGTGAAAGCTCATGCTAGTAATCACTGCTGATGCATATCCATACACTGACCAGTAGATGGCACTGGGTTCATGAATAGTGCTCATAAAGAGCCATGATGGTAACTGAGCCTATCAAATCAGAGTCGGAACCAAATCAGCTGAATCACAGGGGTATGGTTATTCCTATGAGGAGCCATATTTTTGAAACTATGTCAATTTCGAGTTGACACCTTCTCACCACGGCGTTGAACTTCTGGACCTCCCGCGGAAGCTGTTTTTATGAAAACTATGAGGGGGGTTAAATTCAAGCTAAGGAGCTGTGCCCAACCCTAGTCAAAATTGGAAATCGAAGATGAACGCGCTTTGAGATGGGACTAACTAATGTCAAAAGATGTATCTATTTTTCACGGTCGATTCGGCACCGTTATTTATGTTTCAGTTCATTGAATTAGATCGCGATAATCCAAGGAAATAGCAGTAAGCGAAAAGAACGATAAGATGGAGCGACAAAGGAAGCTGATTTGATCTCTCCTGTTCTGGTAGCATAGCTTCCTCTACCGCATTTGCCATGTAGTCATGAGAGAAGATCATACCTAATAGCAAAGCCATATATATTGAAGTATACTTTTGTCTTCACCTATGGGAAATGACTTTGTCTCGTAAGAGCTCCGACTGATGATCCTCCTGAAGCTTCATAACACATCCAAGTCAAAGTAGTAGTAGTAGTAGTCATTAAACCGAAACNCTAATAGCAAAGCCATATATATTGAAGTATACTTTTGTCTTCACCTATGGGAAATGACTTTGTCTCGTAAGAGCTCCGACCTGATGAAGCTCATCGCGGCGTGCTATTCATAACACATCCGAGTCAAAGTAGTAGTAGTAGTAGTCATTAAACCGAAACAATCACGCCCGCCTACAGAAGACCTCCTTTACTCAGTAGTTCAGTCATTTGTACTTTTGCTCTCTCCATAGGGAATCTACTTGGATCTCTCTTTCTCTCTTTCCAAGCAAACCTTTTCACCACAAAACAATTTTGCTCGGATTGAAGTTACATTGACATTACATTCTAGCAGACCTTTGACATACTTTTTCAGAAAGAGCTGAATTCTTATGGGATGTGGGGGTAGCTGACCGCTACTGTGTTCACCAACTCAAGAGCGGAGAAAATTTCGAGAAGTGGGCACTCACCGATGATTGTCAAGTTGATTCATACCTAGCCGGTTTACTAAGCTGCATGGTTTTTTCTTCATTCAGTTGTTGGCATTCTATTGCTCTCTCGAGCAAGAATGCTATTGGCACTGTGAATGATACACCAAAGAAGTAGTATCATATGTTTAAGGCTTGTGGACCGCAGGAAAGAAGCATTTCCAATGCGCCAGATTTGCGGAAAATCATACTAGCTATGGCGGGGGTTTACAAGCAGAGCGCATGCATTTATGGCTCCTTCTCTGTGAATATCAGTTCAAGAGTTCGAAGAAAGAAAACATAAAAGCGTACGACAGGTTTTGGATTTCGATGCGGCTTCTTAAGTGTCATTCTCTCCAGATTGTAATTTCATTGTTATCCAACTCAATGATCCATCTCTAACATCTAAGTTTTGTAGAAGAACCAATTACTTTTACAACTTAGCTTACTCGACTGGAAAGGTTCTTGCATGATCGCGTTTCTACTTTGAAGGATTCTCCCCAAGAGATATGTCGTTCAGATAGCGGTATTAAAGCTGGTGTAAAAGAGACGCGGAGCCTCGTACAAGTTTGTTCACATTGAGAACGTATCTTTCCCATCAGTGCACACACTTGACATTTCTCGCCCTGGTATTTCGTCGAATGGTAAGGCAAAATTCTTGTTCTGTGTTATTTTGAGCTGCTAGAGTTTCTGATCGCGATCTCCTCTTAAGGGAAGTTTCTGATGTCGGCGTCACCTAAAAATAATAATATCAATATCGCAGATTTTTTATACGACATCAATGGCGAACTCTTGAAAACTCTGGAACCAAAGGTAGAGTCGTTTCCGACATTTTTCTGTTGTCTAGATCAATTTTTCTGAGCATTGCAGATGAGTTCTCTGTTCGATGTAGAAATACCGCCTGATGGTCGATTTGTCGCTGTTTGTGGATTTGCAGGAGAAGTTTTTGCTTCTGAGGCATACTTATAGCCGATAGTTTAACTTTATTCTTCTACGGGGTTTCGGTCCAGGTCATCTTCAATCGGAAAAAGGGGTTTTAAGATACCAGAAGAGAATTCAATCTAGAGGTATGGGGTCTTAAAGACTTTATGTGAGCTCATATATTCGAATGAAATAGCGATTCGTAGGGTCACTATTCTGGAGTTTTTCCGGTGGCTTTCAATGCAAATGCTTCACGTGCGGTTACGGTCTCGCGTGATGGGTTTTGGAGAGTGTTCGACAAAGACATACGAAATGCTCAAGGCCAGGAAGCGACAATTATTGACAATTGAGTTCTTAATGCTTTTTATCATTTATCATTATCATTATGACGGCGGGATACTTTCCTAACATTATGAAAATCTCTTACATAATTTTCTTAAGGAAGAATGGTCCTTGCTGATGGGAGCTAGTGCAGACCGTGTTCGCTTAGCTATGAGCCCTTCCGGTGACAGTTTCGCAGTCTCTTGGTTCCACGTTGAAGATATTCAGCAGTGAGGATGAACACAAAGACTTCCCAGAATGTACGTCATTAAGGCGTCTTTTTATTGCATCTTTTTCAGTTCATAATAAATACATGTTCTAGTGAATGATGTGCATGGTGATCAGCGGATACCGGTCATCAATTATTCACCATGTGGGCGATTAATAGCTACTTGTGGGGACCGGTACGTTCGTGTATTCCGAAACATACCTGAGTATCACAGCCAGGTGAGGTGATGCAACTCACCAAGGTAAGCGTTAAATTATGTACGACTTTATCAACATTCGAAAATATCCAGAATCTGAAGGATGTCACTGGTGACGCTCCGAGAAGACGTATGCTTAAGCAAATCGAGGAGACCAGACAGATTTTGGAAAAGTATTGTGTGTAAAAAAAGCACGCAGTCGTTGCTCGTGGAGAGTTGGCGGTTGAATTGTATTTATCACACAAATTTCCCCTTAAGCCATGGTGTAGGCAATAGAGAACATTGAATGAGTGTGGACTTTTCGATTGGCGGTTTCTTTGAAGAGCTTGCTATAATGAGGTCGTAAAACAAAAATCTAGAAAAGACCGATAAAATAATGCAACACAGCTCACTTACCGATTGGTTGGGCTGAAGGGTGAATGGCTATGTGGGAACCATAAAAGATCTAAGTTTGAAAGTGATCCGGGCGATTTTGCGTTTCTGTTAAAGGAGAACTTGAGTTGTTCGGCGACATGTTCTCGTTGTGCAATGAAGGTAAAGCACTTTCTCGTACGCACGGAGGAACGGCGTCATCCACTGAATTACGGAAAAATTTTACGCATATCGACGTCGTAGGGGAGCGGTTGTATTGTTCAAATGTTGAACTTATTGATTAAGCTTTTTGCGGAAGCCATCTTTGCATTCTTTGAGCTACAAACAAATGCCGATACATCTTAGAGAATCCTGCCATAGCGTAGTGAACGCTGGGGTAACTCATTACTAATATCTACTTTTTTCAACATTGTTCATACCGGTGTTAAGAATATATTCGTTATTTATTTATTTATTTATTTATTTATTCATGCACCTCACTGAGTGCGCA